GTAGGATGGATCACACTCAACTTTCCAGGAAAAAGGCTCTGTATTTCCAGGTTTTCCTCAGTTCTATCTTGGATATATTTCTCTCCTGATTTAGGGATATGCTGTGTGTGGCAATAAATAGAACTCCGCTTCCAATATGGAGAACTGCAAACACATAAGAGCACTGCTCTGTTCTCTTAAATCAAGGTGAAGAGCTTGAAACACTCTGCAAACAACAGGGATTTTCACATACCTGMAGAAAAATTGGAAGGAATGGAAATCAAACTTCCTGGCTCCTATGCCCTACCCATAAGACTGAATTTCTTTCCTATTCTTGCAGTTTCCACAAATTCAAGGTGAACTCAGTGACAAGGAGCTCTGCTTGGGGCAGAAGTATTGGAAAGCAGAGTGTGCTGGGATTTTGTGTGACTCTCAGTCCTCAGCTGCATCTCTCTGTGGGCGTTTGGTGTGAGAAGGCTCTGTCCCCTAAGTGCTGCTCGGCTCTTTGTCCTCACTGATGTGTTTTCTTCTCTTCCCTCTGGAGCAGACCTCAGTGGAGCTGTTTGCAAAAAAGGGCAAAAAGAAACTCAATGGCAGTGTGAGAAAGAGAAAAACAACCCAGCTGGTTTTACAGTAAAAGAAGCCACTTTACAGTAAAAGAAGTTACCAAGCCTTAGTTTGTTACTGAAACATCTTGGCTCTCAAGAAGCTCTCAGYTGCAGTGGCTCAGTCCTTTAAAATTGTGCTGACCAACCCGCCTGCAGATATTTCTCTCTTTACATTATTTCCCTCTGATATTGATTAATCACTTCATTTACAACTTATCCAGCCTCTTTGCTATGCATTTATTGCCAGACCATAACTGCACATATACCATCTTCCCAGGAACAATTCTCTGACTCTCCCTGGTCTAAAAGTGACATCATCTTTTATCTCTCAACTTTCAGGCTTTTTGTTCAATATTTCCAGCTTGATTTTCTGTTATATGCCCTGGTTGATAAAGCAAAGGATACTGATCTGAGTCCTTGCAAAATTACTGTCCAGGCCCTTTTGACCTACAGGATTAAATGCAAGAGGATAAAAACCTCTTGCTCTAGAAGCAGCATAAGATGACCAAACTCTCAAGTGACACAATTTAGGTCAATATCTCGTGTTAGTTGAGGTAAGTCTGTGAAACCATTCTGGCAACAAAGATGTCAAAAATGTACACTTCAAACAATCACAAATTATTGGGGTTGCTTCAATTTCTCACAGTATCCAACAYTTCACAGAATCACAGAATGGTTTGGGTTGGATGGGATGTCAAAAATTGTCTAGTTCCAAACGTCCTGCTATGGACAGGGACACCACTATCCCAGGTGCTCCAAGTCACACCCAGCCTGGCCTTGGACTCTTCCAGGAATGGAGCAGCCACAGCTGCTCTGGGCAACCTGTGCCAGGGCCTCACCACCTTTCTTCCTAAATTCTAAATCCACTCTCTTTCAGCTTAAAGCCATTGTCCCAGTCCTGCTCCTTACTGGTTACTCTCCACAACTCTTTTTTCATGCTGGGGTGTGGACACAAGCACTGCTGCAAGCAGATTCTGATCATTCCATTGCAAGCTGAATTTGCACAAGGTAGTTTTGTGTGATGGGCTTGTAAATACAGATGTAGCCTAGAGTGACCAGATTCATTCCTCAGCCATTTCATGGTCACTTTATTTACTGGATGATGGCATCACAAAGAATTAGGCTTGGGAATAGTCTGTGTCTTTAAGAATAAGAAAGGAAATAGACACTTCAAGTAAAAAAGATTGACGTTTACATCTTTCCAAACCTTGTGCACAGTGTTGCAGGTTTTGTGGAGAGGGACATATTTTTCAAAGAAGATTATTTTAAAGTTAATGTTTTTGTGTTTTTTTTTTTTTTTTTAAAAAATTTTTTTTTTTTTTTTTTTTTTTTTAAAAAAAAAAACCAAAAAAAAAACCTGTATTTTCAGGCTCTTCTATTGTAGAGCCTGTGGCTGCAGAGCCATCTTGTGGGGGAGACTCAGTTCTGCCAGGAGGAGACTTTTTTAGTACTTTTATTTTTTCACATGTTGTGGATTGCTCAGGCAGCAATAAGCCTGGGCAAGACATCCWGTTCACCCCAGCATCTGTTTCAGTCACCTTGGAGTACCAACAGGTCTTCTCATTCTGTGGAGATTCCAAAATTCCTTGAGGGCTGAAACTCAGAAACCAATATTCGTCTCATCTTTGCCTAATTTAATACTACCAGTTAGGAAGGTTTTGGCAATGCCCCTGCCTCAAGGTTTCATCAGTTCTATTTGAAAATAAAAAGATGCCATCTGAATTTCACAAATTGAAGAAATGTTCCTACAAATGGGTGCAGCTCCATGTACATCAAGTGCAAGACTCTGAAGTTGAGGCACATAATTGGTTCCTTACATGCTTTGTATTGARGGAAGAAGACACAGAATAGGGAAAATTCCTCTCATTGGAGTAGCTAAATGTTCCATCCTCTTGTGGAGGTACCATTACAGAGTGCTGAGCCTGGAAAATGAGAACTGGGAATCCTCTAGCTGTGCAGGATGTGRGATCACAGCTGGGGGTGGGGATAAAACACTGTCAGGAACAGGGTGTTGGGAGCCAGGGGGGTCCCTGGGCTGGCAGGACAAGAATTTATTAGAGAGGGTCCAGTGGAGGCSACAAAGATGATGAGGGATCTGGAGCATCTCTCTTACGAGGAGAGACTGTGAGACCTGGGCCTGGTTAGTCTGGAGAAGAGAAGWCTGAGAGGGGATCTCATCAGTCCATATAAATGTCTCAGAGGTGGGTGCCAAAAGGAAGGGACCAAGTTCTTTTCAGTGGTGCCCAGTGATAGGATGGGGAGTGAAAGGAATGATCAATGTCTTTACAAACAAGCTATGGGGTCTGCTGGTAGATAAGGCCAGATACTGATAGGYRAAAGGAGCAATGGGAGGAACCATAAATTCCAGCAATGGGAGGAACCATRAATTCCATAGGAATTCCACCAATTTGACACAGACTGTTAYTCACCCAAGRCAGTGCGAAATCCCTGGACTTAGAGAAAAAGAACAGACACAAAGAATTTAAAAAAAGGAGGGAATGCACATTAGATGGGGGCCTSTATTAGGTGATTTGGGGAGTCTGTACCTCTCAAGTACCTAAGCCAATGGGGAAAGAGAGAGGGAAAGRCAGACRGGAWAWTGGGACAAAAAGGAGGCTGTGTCCTCTAACAATTTGAGAGACCTCATGAAGARGTCCCATGACCTCTCCCTTTATTCTAATAAAGTTATGGGACTCCTCTGTCTCCTTTTTGAACATAAACCTCTGGTGTTTGTGGATTAATTTTCTTGACAGTAGCAATGGCSATAAACTGTAACACAAGAAGTTCCACTTTATCATGAAGAAGAACTTCTTTACACTGAGGGTGGCAAAGCACTGGGACAGGCTGCCCATAGAGGTTGTGGATTGTTCCTCTCTGGAGACATTCCAAAGCCACCTGAACATAATCTTGTGTCAGCTGCTCCAGGACCCTGCCTTGATGATCTCCAGCCCCAAATCACAGAATCGCAGAATGGTTTTTGCTGGAAGGGACCTGAGAGACCATCTCGTTCCAACCACCCTGCCATATGCAGGGACACCATGCATGTATATAAATTGATAATTTATATAAAGACCTATATCTCTACACATGCAAATGTCTATGCACGCAGGTTTATATACTATCTACTTTCAGCCTGAACAGCCAAGATGAAACCACAGATGCTGCTTTGTTTTTCTATGAATTTTGTGACTCCTGCCTGCGATTATTTGTGATTCTTTGTCCCCAGAAAAAGCATGCCTTATTGTTGGCACAATTCCCATCTTAAAGAGTCTGATTGGTATCAGCCGAGATCTAATTTTTCCATGAAGAGACACAAAAATCAATCAAAATTGCTTATACCGGGAATAGATTCTGTRGAACATTCGAACAATTCTGCCCAGGGCTGGGGACTCCCTGGCCCAGGTGGGCGATTAAATTGAATTTTGAAACGAGAAGGGAATGTCTTTACAAACAGACTCTG